GATTCAATTTCCATCACCCAGAGCTCCCAGAATCTTTTCTGAGGAGCTGCTTACCAGCCTCTCATCCCTCATTCTGTATGTATATCCAAGGTTGCTCTGTCCCAGATGCAGAATCCTGCACTTGCTTCTGTTAAACTTCATGCAGCTGGTAATCTAATTTGCCAAGATCTCTCTGCAATGCCTCTGTACCTTCAAGAGAGTCAACAGCTTCTCTCATTTTAGTATTATCTACAAACTTAGCATGCAGTCAAGTCCTGCATCCAGATCTCTTATAATAGCATTAAAGAGAGCTGGTTCTAAAATGGCACCCTGGAGAACCCCACTGGTTACTGGTCACCAGCCTGATGTAAATCTATTAATTATAACACTTTGTGCCAGCAAGTCAATCAGACAGTTATTCACCCATTACATTATGTTTTTCACCTAGTTTTATGCTGGACATTTTGTCCAGAAGGATAATAGAAACAACATTGAAAGCTTTGCTGAAGTCCAAAAATAGTGCATCAGCTGGCTGTCTCAGTAGCTATGCTTGTTCCCGTGGCTGTAGATATCACAAGGGATGTAAAGGAAGGAGTTTTCTGCTGGGTGGATATTGTGAAAGGAGCTCCTTGTGAGCAAATGTCCTGGTTTCACTTAGCATAGAGTTAACTTTCATCCTACTGGTTGACATAGTGCTGTGTTTTGGATTTAAGATGAGAATCATGTTGATGACACAGGTGTTTTAGATGACACACAGGTGTTTTAGATGTTTCTGAGCAGTGCTCACATTAAGGCAAGGACTTTTTGGCTTCTCAGACTGTTCTGCCAGAAAAAAAGGCTGAGGGTGCACAGGAAGCTGGGAGGGGACAGAATTGGGACGGTTGACCTGAACCAGTTAAAGTGATATTCCCTACCATATTATGTCATGTTGAACTGAGAGGAGTTGCCCAGAGCTGCTGCTTGGGCACTGTCAGCAGGCAGTAAGCATTTGCTTTGTGCATCACTTCTTGATCCAGACTTGTTTAACATCTTCATCAGTGACCTAGAAGAAGGGATAGAGTCCATCCTCAGCAAGTTTTCTGATGATACAATGCTGAGAGGTATGGCTGACACACCAGAATATTGTGCTTCCATCCAGCGAGACTTGGAGATGCTGGAGAGTTGTGTGGAGAGGAATGTTCAACAAGGGCAAGTGTAGAGTCCTACACCTGGGGATGAGTGTCCCTCGCATCTGAAACTATGATTCTATGGCATTGTTTGTGAACTCACAGATTGCATTGCTTATTGGCTCAGTTTTGGTCACCAGCAGGTTCCTTTCTCAGCTGACTGGAACTGGCTCTTCCCTAACAGGGGACAACTTCTGGACTCTCCTCATAGGGGCCCTCTCTACAGTTACACTCTTTACTAAAACCTTGCCACATAAGCCCAACACATGGACATCCCTTAAGCAGAAATCCTGTGCACCCCTTTCTGCTGCACTCAGGCTGACCTTGCCATTCTTCTGATACTGCTGTTGTCTACGAAGCCTTCACTCTTTGTGCCCCTGCCTCCTGTACAGGTTATGGCTGGGATACAGTTAATTTTTTTCAGAGTATCTTGCATGTTGCTATCTTTTGGATTAGTAACAAAAAGACTTGATAACACTCTGATGCTTTGTTGTTGCTGAGCAGCACTAACACAGGGTCAAGGCCTTCTGTTTCTTGCACTGCTCTGCCAGTGAGTAGATTTGTGGCCCACGGGAAGTTCTTTGGGGCACAGACAGGACAGGTAACTCCAAATGACCAAAGGAACATTCCACAGCATATAATGCCATGTTCAATAATAAAATCTGGGGGGGGGGGGGGGGGNNGAAGATGGAAGAAGGGGAACATTCAGAGCTATGGCATTTGTATAGCATAACGAAGCCTTGCTTTCCTAGAAATGGTGGAATATCTACCTGTTGATGACTAGTCAATTATTTTAGTTTATTTTGCTTTGACAGCATCCACTCTTTTTATTTCAACCCAAGAATTCTATTCCTTTTGATTTTTTTTTATTGTGTTCCCCATCCATTTTAGGAGGAGTGAGCAAGGAACTCCATAGTGATAGCTGCCTGTCACGGTTAAACCACGACGACTCCTAGAGGCATTGTAGGGTAAGACTGAGAACTGCTACTTCCGGTGGCACATTTACAAAAGGCATGGAATCAGATTTTTGTTGAAATCCAGTTGGATTTCCCATGGTGGTGCGAACGAGGCAAAAATAGCAAGCTGAGTCCTCAGGGTGCAGGGCACACAAAAGCAGAGATGCCACGGACAGAGAATTGTCCTTGGAAGCCATGGCTCTGTCTTTTACTCCCAGCAAGTATTGAATGGTTGAAGAATCATAGCTGATATAAGAGATGCTCTCAAGACTGCCACTGAGTGCCTGGTGGTACTACCAAAAGTGATGATTTATCAAGGTGAAGCTATATCTCTGACAGGAAAGGAGCATAGAGTACCCCAGGTGCTCGCTGGCCGCCACCAGCCTCAACAACTCAGTTGTGTTCACACCCTTGCAGACAGAGAACTCGAGGAGCTATGAGGAGCTGAGCACACAGAGGGGAAGGGGTAACATTTCCCAACCACTCCAACACCCCTGGTCCAGGACAGACATAGACACCAATGTCCTCCCTCCTTCCAAAGTGCCTGGCCAAGGGCACTGCCCCAGCTTGAAGTGGGACATGGGGGAAGATATGAGTGTTGTTGGCTTATCTGCAAGCAGTAGTCCATAGTCTGAACTACAGAAATGCAGAGAAGTGTTGGGGTGGGAGAAGATGTTGGAACTGTTCTTATGTCAAGAAGAGAATTATTTCAGGGATGAAAGCACTGCCAATGTAGACTTTGCAGAGTTTGTTCTCTGGTGCTGTTTATGGTGATGCAGATTTTGCAGTTAAAATCCATCCAGGCAGTGAATATCCTGTGGACAAAGCAGCTCTCTGCAGATCTGATAGTACCCTACCAGAAGAAAAAGGGATTTTGTTTCAAGGATTTTGTGACAGGCTGCCTGACTGATGTGGAAACCTGGAGAGTGGTGATGGGAAGGAGTTGTTTTGGTGCAGCACCTGTAAAAGGCTGACAAGGATCCCACAACTGCCCATATCAACATGATTGTCCACCATCCTCTGCTCACTGTTCTCCCTGATTTCTGCATTTTCCCCCACCCTGTTGCCCATACTACAAAGTGACGAGGCTGACTAGGGGCTGCAGTGTAAAGGAAAGATGACACAGTAACGAGTGTTTGATGCTGGTGCACAGCAATGTGCAGAGAGGCATGCCCTAGTGCTGGGAACCAGGGCTTCTGCAAAGCAGATGGGACAAGCAGTGCCTGGGTCAGAATGTTCTTCTGGCCTGAAAGGAGTCTGGCCTTGTCCTTTGGACTCCCAGGATGTAGTGGTACTCCACCACATCCCTGTGCCAGACCCAGATGAACCAGAGGGCACTGGAACACTGTTTGCCACCAACAGCTGCCCTGACAGGTCCAGTGCATCTTGGGACTCTCAAAAATTGCTCACAGTGAATACGGACCCTTGGCCCGGGAGTAGATGGTAGCAGTAGATGTACTTGTTTGACTATATGTTGGGGTGTAACCCAATGTAGTTGATGAGTAAGGTAATGTGTTCATGCTGGTCCTTGCCCAGAATGACAAGGTCATAGAGGTCTTTGATTATTCGCAAGTAACTGCAAATTCTCACTAATAAAGTATATACTTATGATTACTTAATAACATGCAAGGCTATAATATATACTTTGGAGTATCATCAATACAATACTCACCAAACGAGACCCAGGAGTAGGACTAATTTAAGACCAAGTCTTTCTCTTCATGGATAATCCATGGCATGGAGGCTGTCAGGCATTTCCAGACAGAAAATAGGAGTCCTCAGATTTGGGACAACTATCAGTTTTCTGTTGGGCAGAGAAACCAGTACAGATTCAGGGACACAGGAACACCTCCCCAGCCATGCACTGGTGATTCTCCAGAGCAGAGTGCAAGTATAAACACATCCCTGCAGCAAACAGAAAGTCTTTCTCAGTCTCAGGACAATGGAGCTTTCTCACATCCTGAGGGCTTAGCTGAAAGCTGTTGGGCAGAAATGAAAGTTTTCCTCCTCATGGTGTTTTGCCTTGCAGTTAAAGCCACAAGAGTAAAGGTTTTTCATCATAGCCCCAAGCTTTGGACAATTTGGACAATACTCTCAGATATATGGTTTGAATTATGGGAGGTCGTCTGTGCAGCCAAGGGTTGGACTTGATAATCCTAATGGTTTCCTTCCAACTCAGGATGTTCTGTGATTCTGAGAAGAGTAGGCATGTCTCCCAGAAAAAGCTCCCTTCCCTGACAGGAATAGTTAGTGGAGACAGTGCAAAGCACAACAGAAGGACAAGCAGGTCGATATGACTTGTTAATACTCACTCCCATGCCCCAAGTAGCTTCACCTCACGTAGCAACCCTAAATAGCATTTCTGATGCTTAGTCTCTCTCCTTAAACCCAGGAGAGCTTTGCTGGACTTCTTTACTCATTTCCCATGAACTTGGACACATCTGTAAAAAACAAAACAGTATGTTCTTAGTGACACTTGTCCCTGTTGCACAGGTTGGGTAGGCAGAGTCAGCCTCACCATAAGCCCCATGTATCCTTGCTGGGCATGCTGGGCTCAGAGCTACATGTGAATGGTGGTGAGAGGCAACTGCTTTTCAGAGCACCCACACCTTCCTGTACACAGCTGCATGCTGCAGGCACCAGTGTGTGCTCAGTGCACAGAAGTAGACAGCTCTGTGCTGAAACTTGACATCCCGCACATGGAGAAGCACATGGGAGTTTTCCATAGAAAGCACAGAGGAGAACCTCCCAGAACTCATACGAGGCCTGAATGCATTCACCCACAGCAGTAGCTGAGGGGCCTGGGTCAGATGCTGCTGGTACCAGTTGATGTAGAAAACTGAGCTGCTGGTGGAAAAATTGCAGTGCAGACTTGTCTCGTGCCCTGTCTGAACAGCTATTTTTTGTGGATACTGCAGCACAAAGTCCTTCTGTGCACGACCTGTAAAGCCAGAAAGACATTTCAGCACAGCTTGACTATATATCCATTCTCTCTCTCATGTATCTATCATTGTACCAACCTGCTCACTGTCCCACTCTACATTTCACTTTTCACAGGCTGTAAAATCCTGAGCTAAGTACACATGCACTTTTCTTTCGCTACTCATACCCAAGGCTGTCAGCTTACCTGTCTTATCACTCTAGGCTCTGAATCCATCTATTCTGTCAATTTCTGAGCTGTATTAACCCTTTATTTCTTTTGGCAGAAGAGGTGAGCTATGTCCTCCTCACTTTGTGATTTCTTACTGTGAAATTTACTCCATACTTCATCCTACGTATTCTGTCTGTGCTTTGTCCTTGAGCCTCATCTAAGTTCTTGCATGGACTCAGCCTTATTTTCTGCTCTATCAAGGATTATACTTATCTCCACACAGACTAATAGCATTTTCTCCAGTACATCAGGAGGACACAAGCTTCTATCTACTGTTCTGGCCTGTTCCCTAGCAGCAATCCTTCTTTCACCATACATACCTATGAACAGTGCATGTAATATGCTAGGTAACTGCAAAAGAAAAGGCCAGAGACCTATTCATCTCCATACTGTCGTTGCTCCTGACATCTGCCAGATTATTTGCTGTACCCATCTGCAGGCCCTGCTATACCTACAGAAAATATTTCCAATTCTACCAGGAAGATAGCATTTGTATTTCCCCCCTCTCCAGAAATGACAGGGTGCTATCTTACCCCAGTCTTCCCCCTCAGAATATCACATCTCACCAAAGTCTGTCAGTCCCATCAAGGCTGTCAGAAAAAGCAGGACCATGTCACACTCTTGCCTTCACTGGGTACCATGCAGTGCTTGGAATACGAGAGCTGAAGCTGGCAGCTTCTCTCTCTGCCAGCTATAAGCAGCCTTTAGACTTCAACAGTGGGGGTGGAGCAAAGCCCTCTGCTGCTGCTCCTAAGGGCCACACCTCTCCCACAGTAAGGATCTCAAGAATGAAGAGGAACTGGTGGTTAAACCTCTCAAGAGAAAAATCAATCTGTCCTGTGGTGAGGGTTACCTATGGTCAGGCACAGACTTTTCAGCACTGGGAGCTTCTTACATGGAATGGAAAGATTGCAAGGGACCTACGGAGATCTTCAAGTACAACTGCCTTGTGTGGTCAGGCCACAGCTGAATTTGCTGGTTGTGAAGGTCACTTAGTCAGTGATAAGGTAAAAAGTCCCAAAAGTTACCACTATGTACTTCCCCCACTTTGCCCTTCCTGATGCTCACAGCCAGTCCCAGCAAAGAGTAAGTGTCCTCAGTGAGCTACCCCTGCCATCCAAAACTCAGCAAGACTCAGATACCTGCACCTACCTGTGCTGCCAACGGAGAAGGGATTGCTTCTACTGCCCTTCTCCTCTGTTTCCCTGGAGACTGTCTGGGTGGAGGTAAGACCAGTCACACACAAAGGAACCTACAACCAGGTGCCAACTTTCTCTCCAACTTTCCCCATTTCCGGGGCATGGACCAAGTTCTAGAAGGGAAACATCTCCATGCACAGCTCCTACTGTAGAAAGCACCTCAAAGGGACAGAGAGACACGTTCCAGCTCAGGCAGAAAGGACTTCTAACCACAACCTTCTGCTCAGCTGTCAAGTATATGCGCACATAGCCTTCTGATTCAACATGGGCTGCAGAAACCCCCTGGCTTAGCTAACCACAAGCTAAATATCTTTAATGCCTTCTCAAAGGCAGTGAGAACAGGCGGCCACCAGCTCTTCTCTTTAAGGATCCTGTGCGGATAAATTAGCACTGTGGCAAGAAATGAGTTATCAAAAGGGGTCACTAGAATGAGCATCAAGTGCGGATACTTGCTGTATTGTCAGGATATCATCTCTGTACCAAAGGTGCTGTGTTTAGGGCAAGACGAAACACTGTTAAAATAACTCATGCTCTTGGAAAGCAACCGCGAGCATATCATTGAACTCTGGGCTGGGTCCTCCAGCAACGGCAGCGCCCCCTGCGGGCCGAACTGTGCCGCCCGCCGCGGTTCGTGCCCGGCCGCAGCCCCGGCTTCGCTTCCTGTGGGTCTACAGAACAGTAATACACCGCCGCGTCCCTGAGCTGGGGCCGGGCGAGCCGCAGGGCACTGGAGCGGCGGTCTGCCGACACCAAGAGCTGCCCCGCCGGGTCCGGCACCTCCTTGGAGCCTTCGTGAATGAACCCGATGAACGCGGGTCCTCGGCCCGGGAGCTGGCGGTACCAGTGTATCTCAGCGTAAGACTGAATGTTAGGGTGTGAGCAGGTGATGCTGATTGCGGTGCCCTCGCTGGTCACTGCCGACGGCTCTTGCTGCACCTGGGCTCTGCTCACAGCCACTACGGAGAGGAAAACAAGAAAAAGTCAGAAAATCCCCTTACTCCAATAGAAAGGAGAAAGGTCAGAAAGAAGCCGTACGGACAGAGATGAGCGCGGTCCAGGCCCCCGCTGCCCCCGCAGTCCGGCCCCGCCGGCGGCAGCCCCGCGCACCCAGGAACACCGCGGCCAGCCCCGCCAGCCCCGCGGCCCGGCACTGCCGCATCCCGCCGCTCCGCCGCCCGGGCCGCGCCGCGCCGCGCTGCCCCCGCCAGCCCCGGCTCTGCTCCGCCCGGGGCGCCTCCTCCCCGCCGCCGCCGCCAGCTCCGCCCCGGGGCTGCGCCCTGCGCCGGCGTCAGTCGGGCTTGCTCCAGGTGCGAGTGCTTCCCATCTGGAAGAGGATGCTGACCTGCAGATCTCTGTGCGCACAGGGGAAGCAGCGCTGCCGGGGGAGAGCTGAGGGCCCCTTCCCCAGAGCTCCGCCTCCAACAGACACAGCCCCTCCCTCACTGGGGCTGTTGCACGGCCGAGGAAGCTCCCTGCACCAGGGTGTCCTGCACAGCACAGAGGTACAAGGCGCTGTCAGACAGCTGGACTTCTGCCAGCTGCGGGAGGCTGTTTTTCCCAGTGGTGTTCAGCCCCGTGGTGAAACGGCCGTTGTGCTTGGAGCCTGCTGCTGTGTGATATGTGACCAGCTGGGGGGCTTGGCCTTTCTTCTGCTGGTACCAAAACAAGCCATAAAAGCTGGAGGCCTGGTAAGTGCAGGTGGTCTGGAAGGTGTTTCTCTCCTCCACTGTGACCTGTCCTTCTTGCTGGCTGACAATGGTCTGCCCCACGGCATCTGGAAGAAGAAAGCAAAGGTGAGCAGCTCAGCAGGGAAGGTTCCAGGCTGCCAACATGGAGTGGATACAAAACAGCGGGAGAGGACTCCCCGTCCTTTGTCCAGCAGAAAGGTGTTGCAGCCTGTGCATAGGAAGGTGGTTTTGGAAGAGCTCTGTGCTTGTGGGCCAGAGCAGACGTATTGCTGTGCTCCTGCTGAGAGGAACAGGGAACAGCCTGTCATGGCTGTGGAGGGCGAGGGACCCATGGAGCTATTGGGAAAAGATGCATTGCGTTTCTCCAGCCCTGTCAACTTGGAGGTCTCCTAACTCCCTCAGTATAAACAAAGCTGAGCTGAAGGGTGACAATTATGATCTCTGGCTGTGATGACTACCAGGAGAACACCAGAGGCTATCGTAAGAATGCACCAGGCAGCAGTCAGACTGGGACATCCCCTTAATGCTGATAGGATGAGTTGTTTAATGTCACTGCTGTGACTTTGACTGCTTCTTTCTGTTGGAAAGGCTGAAATGTGGGACTGCAGGAATGGCTGCCATCTCTGGGGGTGGCAGCAGATGGGAAAGGCAGTGACAGAGAGAGAAGGGAAGAGAAGAGAAAAGGAGGAAAGGTCCTGAGGTCTCTCTTCTCCATCTTCCCAACAGCAGCAGTATCTTGAGAGGACTGGTGCAAAGCCACAACAGTCAGTCAGTATTTGCCCAAGGTTTACTTTTACTCCGGAGCTGTTTGCCACAAATCCCTGGTGAGGCTAGTGAGCGCTTTGTGGAGAGAAGATGGATGCCTTGATTATAAGCCAGCACTTACCCAGCAGCTGTCCCAGGAAGGCAGTGAGGACGAGAGAGCTGCGGTGCATGCTGAGACCCAGCCTCCTGTTTGCTGAGTG